CTCACGGCTTGGCTCTCTGTTTCCCAGTAAGGAGCCAAAGACACGTGTTTATGTCCAGTTCCTCTGCTGGGTGGTTCCAGAATGTTCAGGGACTGACGGCATCATGGGCTTGGAGATCCATGAGCAGAAGAAGCCCACTTCTGATCTAATGATTGAGGAGAAGGATGAGGGGGTCCAGGGCACTGGGCCGCAGGGGCACCTTTGGGAGTTTGTGCAATTAAGGCTAAGGCATGGCAGCCACTCAGACCCAGGCAAGTCCTCAGAGGTCACGTGAACAAGCATTTCTCACATCCTTTGATAACAACTCACAGAAAGTAATAATGTTTACACCTGGACCCAGCCAACACCCCCCCCTCACACACACACACCATACAGCAGAGAACAATCTGCTGAGGCAGCACTTTACTACTTGTGTTATATTCACACACGCATAAATCAGCACGCACACACGACACACACGTGCACGTGCATGCGTGCGCACACGCGCACACACACACAGACACACACACACCAGATACAACCCTCCAAACTGATTTCACCATCCACTAACGGACCAGGACTATAGTTCAAATCATCTGTCCAACTTGCTCTTCTAGGGCGCCTGGGTGCTCAGTCAGTTGAGCGGCTGCCTTTGGCTTAGGTGGTGATCTCACCATCATGAATTCAAGCCCCATATCACTCTCTCAGCTACCAGCACAGAGCCTGCTTCAGATCCTCTGTCTCCCTCTCTATCTGCCCCTCCCCTGCTTACTTGATCTCTCTCACTCTCTCTTTCAAAAATAAAACAACAACAACAAAAATAACACCTGCTTTCATAAAATGGGAAAGCTGAGGTCAAGAAGGGGAAGGGGCCTGCCCAAGACCACCCAAGATGCGTCCAAGGTCAGAACTAGAGCCCAGCATCTAGTTCCTGATACTTCTCATTATCCCAAATTAAATTCAGATAAATAGGATGTTAACCCAGTCGAGTGTGGAGGAGGTATTTGGATGGTTTGGGGTACAAAATCCCGACAGCTAGACAGCGTCTAATCCCATGGTTTTCAGAGCGTTTGGGATGCACATAAAGCACAAAGTGCCTCTGGGTCATGGCTGTGGCCACGGCTCTCACTGAGCCCGTGGGAATCTCTGTGGTCAGCCCCGCCCCCAAAACCAGGTTTTCTGTATTGCATTCCTAATTCCAACTCTTCGCTGTGGTTCCTGAGAAGATGCAGACACGAGCCCTGCTATCTGGGAGTCTCTGACCTTAGGCGGCACCAACAGAGGCAGCATGGTGCAGGGGGTCTGACTCAGTGGACATCTACCCAGCACCCCCTCTGTGTCAGACCCTGTGTGCCAAGCAAGGTATGGGGCTCAGCCTGCAGTAAGGTGTAGACCCTGCCCCCAATCGGGTCAGGCTCCCGATCTGCACAGTCCCAGGCTCAAATCCCCACTCCCCTTCTCTCTGGTTGTGTGGCCAAGGTTACACGCTCAGCTTCAAGTTATGCACCCATTAAGTGGGATAATTACACCTGCCCGTCAGGTTGTTGGGAAGATCAAGGGGGTACAACCCACATGAAAGTCTCAGCACGTGGCAGGCAATCAGTAAGGGGTAGCTTTTATGGTTATTATTACCGGTAAGGGAAAAAAGCAACTCACAGGTAAGGAAAGGGGGCCACATCCCAGAGGGGAAAAAACAGCGAGAATGGAGGCAGAGTGGAACACACAGGGGAAAATGGGAGGAGTGGAGTGTTGGGGAAGGAGAGAATGATTGGGGGATCAAAATGGAAGGGTCGTGCAGCCAGCAGCAGAAAGACCTTAAACGTCAGGCTGAAGAGGCAATGGGGAGCCACTGAAGACCTTAGAGGAAGAGAGTGATGCAAGAAAAGGTGGAAGAAAGACTTGCGAAGCACCTGCTATGTGTCAAGCATGCACTTAGGCACCAGGAAGCCTGCTGCATCGACCAGGGCTTGATCAGAACTGCCAGGAGATACCGATATATAAAATAAAGAACTTTTCATAGGGGGTTGACTTCCACGATTGTGGGAGCTGGTAAAACAGTCTGTAAAAGGCGGTTTCTTTTTCTGCTGGTGCTGCCGCCTGCAGTTCTGTGGCCAGAGTGACAGAAACTGGAATGGCGAGGATGAAGCTATGAGGACAGCCCAGAACACCCTTCCCCATCTGGCTGCCTCCGGTGACAGGAGCTGAAGCAGGTGACCTGGCGGGGCTGGGAGTCGCTGCCTTTCCAGAGCTTCCCAACCCTGACAGTGTCACCCAGCAGAAAAGGGACAACATGTGTCAGCTGTGACGGCGTCTCATGCCCCGCTCTGACTCCGCTCCCGCTTCTATGCCACGACTGCCTCCACATCTCATGCAGACCGTCTCCGAAACCCACACTAACCTGGAATTCCATGGGGATGGCGTTTCTGGGAAATGTCGTTCCAGCAAAACTAAGGGACACAGTAGGACCCAGGACGGTCCACCCCTTGAGGGAGCATGGCAATTTTGAGAGATGACCTCCTGGAAGGTTTACTCATCATGCAAGAGATAGTCAAATAAGAGTCAAAGCTTCCTCCCAGGTTTCAGCAATCGCTGAATTTCAGCTTTTCCCCAGAGCTGCCCATGCAGTGAGAGAGGGTCCGGGGCAGCCACGATGGAGGACCTCATGGGGTCCCCCTCTACACAGGATGAAGCCAGAGCCCCCACCAGACAAACAACCCAGGGATGGCCTCTGTTATTCAAGGCCCTCGTGGGGCGCCTGGGTGGCTCAGTCGGTTGAGTGTCTGACTTCGGCTCATGAGTTTGAGATCTACATTGAGCTCTGTGTTGACAGCTCAGAGCCTGAAGCCTGCTTCAGATTCTGTGTCTCCCTCCCTCTCTCTGCCCCTCCCCTGCTTGAGCTCTCTCTCTCTCTCAAAAATAAATAAACATTAAAAAAAAAAAAAAAACCCTTAAGAACAAAAAAAGAAAAATAGAACCTGGCCCCAGGTGGAATCCAGAAGATCCTTCGGAGAATTGGGAAATACAAATGAGTCCTCGAACTGCCCCAGATTCTGTTTTCTCTCTCTGTGGGCCGGAGCCAGCAGGATAGCGATCAGAGCCCAGGGTTTAGACCAGGATCTGAGGTCTAACTCTAACTTCTGCTACAGATGTGCTGTGTGACTTTGAGAAAGTCTCCTAACCTCTCTGGACTTCAGTTTCCTGGTAGATAAATAAAAGTTCCCCACGGACCCTTCCAGCTGATGCCCATCTCAGCCTGTGGTGTTGCTTTCGTGACCTCACGGCATCCCTTGTCCACAAATGCCTGTCCGCCTGTCTGAAGCTGGTGCTCTGGGCTGGGATGCGTGGTGACAGCAGCCTGCACGCAGCCCCTCTTGCAGAATTTGGCGGCAAGACCAGTCCTGTTTGCCGCCTGACCCTGATGGAAGATGGGAGAAACTGCGGCTGGGGACTCTTCTCCGCCATCCAGGGTATCGCAACTGGAGAGACATGGCATTAGGGCAAAGAAAGCTTCAAATCGCCTACACACCCATTTAACGGATTTGGGAAATGCTTTTGATCCAAAAAAAATCTGATGAGCCAAGTGGTCATTTGAGCCCCATTCTGTGTAACACCATCAAACACAGACCTGGGTCTGTATCAAATGTCTCTAGGACACTAGTACATTTGGAGTCATCTTGTAAAATTTGATTTTATTTTGAAAATGTTCAGCATTGGAGCTTTTTAACTCCAGACCCCATTTATCACGTGGTTGGGGTTTGTCCGCATAAGGAAGCCAAAGGTCAGTCCTTTCTTGGAAAGGACTCTCCTTTGCTTTGGAGGGCGTCCTGTTTTCCTACAGTCTCTGTATCAGAACGTCCTTTCTTTTAGGAACTGATAGATGAGGTGGGTTTTTAGAATCCTCACTGGGTAAAAATAAACCCTTCAGCTGAACTCTATTGTTTTAAATGTCCTGCTCTGAGATCACAGAACCTCAGCGTTCCTGTATATGCATTAAGTGGCCTTGGGATTCCCACCTTACATTACAAGAAACGTTATAGATTTCTGTTTGTTTGTTTTAAAAAGAAACCGGAAATCAGAGAGGTTAGGTAACAAGCCTGAGACCACACAGCTGGAGGAGCCACTGCTGGGATTTGAATGTGGCCCTCGCTGGCCTGGAGGCCCAAACTGGCATGACTGTGTCATCTTTCCCCTACCTCCCCAAGGAAAACAGAAACCCAGCGCTTGGCCAGGGAGGAACCCCAAGGTTTAAGGAGATGAACCCCAAAGAAGGCTTGGATCTTGTCCCAGAAAACCTTCTGTTTATGAACCTGCACCTTCTATCCCTGAGAATCTGTGGTGAACTTTGAGTGGAGGGTCCCAGCGACAGAGAAAGAGGTGCAGACGATTCCCCCAGGGCCGAGGAGAATGCCCCTGTGGTTTAATGTGTCTTACGAATAAATTTTATTTAGGGGTACCTGGGTGGTTCTGTTGGTTAAGCATCTGCCTTTGGCTCAGGTCATGATCTTCGGTTTGTGAGTTTGAGCCCCGCTTGGGCTCTGTGTTGACACCTCGGAGTCTGGAGCCTCTCTCTCTTTGCCCCTCCCCTCCTCATTCTCTCTCTTTCTCTTTCTCTCTCTGTCTACCCCCCTCAAAAATAAACAGTAAAAAAATTTTTTTAAGAATAATTTTTTTAACATCTCTATGGCAGAATTAGGGGGTCAGTTCTGCTTCTGCCTGGAGGAAAAATTCTCTAGAGGGTGGTAGCAATAATCCGACTGCAGAAACTGAAAAGTAAACGTATCTTCCCGGAGAAGGGGCGCTGTCTTCGGGGCGAGAGGGGAGCCTACGGCCTGGAGTGAGGGGCGGGCTCCCAGCGTCAGAGGGCCCGCCTCACAAGGGGACCTTCCCGGGGCCTGTGACCAGAGTCGTTCTCCTGGGACTCTCTGAACGTGGGGTGTGGCCGTGGGGCTCCGCCAGGCCCCGCGGACCGTGGAGAGAGGGGGGAGGTCCAGGACTGCGAGCCTCTCTCAGGAACCCAGCGGAGTGGGTGAGCTCCGCGTTGCAGGAGGTGGGGGGGGTGGTCTTGAGGGCCGCTAGAAGCAGAGGATGTTGGGAAAGTATCGGTAATGGGTATTGTAGCTTCTCAGGTTCCTCTTCAGGCAGTAGACGAGCTTCCGGTCACAGGCACAGAGCTGCACTTGGCAGTGGGCCCCGAGCGCTGCGAACAGGCAGCCAAATGCAGAATGAGGAGGGGAAGACAGTCAACCTCCACGGCCTCCTGGGCTTGCTTCTCATGTGAGCTGACCCCCCGGTCTGCTTCCTGCCCCAGCAAACTCTCAGTCTGATGAGGGAGGCACAGAGTCTACACTGGGGAATGCGTGATCTGATGGACGAGGCCCAGCTGCTGCCCGGGGTGAGGTTTCAGCCCAGGGACACACAGTCCCTGCCCCCTGGGAGCTCCCAATCTGACGGCAGAGACATGTTCTCTCCTCTCCAGAGTTCCCCACTCTGACGGTGGAGGCAGCCCTTGCTCCGGAAGAATTTCAGTTCTCATAGAGGAGACACCACCCTCAGACTTAGCTTTGAACTTGGGTGGAGCAGAGCTTGAATCCCAGCTCTAGCTGCACGCACTGGCAAACCTCGGAGCTGCAGTTTCCTCGTGTGTAAAATGGGACTAAACATGCTCCAAAAGGCATTTGGGGGAGCAACAAAAAGGAAGCATGCATTTGGCACCTAGTGAATGCTCAGTCTGAGATATTCCAGCCCTTCCCAGAGGTCACATACAGCTGTAGTCATCCTGCCCCTCTCGTCCCCAGCTCTGCCCTCCAAGATATAGGCTGGCTGACCTCGAGGGGCGGCTGAACTCAGAGCCAGCAAAGACCCAGGTTTGCTCAGTGTCCTGAACGGGAAGCCCCAGTCTTACCACAGGTGACCAGTCCCCGTGCAAATCCGTATTTGTATGCTTGTGTCCAGATATGGCAGCCTTTCTCCTCCAGCCGACCATAGCAGTGGTCGTGCACCCAACAGCACCTGTCAATGCAAGAGACTTAGAGCCTGAGTGGACGGGCACGGCACTGTAGCCGAGGCCACCGGGGTGGGTGTGGTCTGGCAAAGAAGGAATCTAGTGATAAGGCTGAGTACTTCTCTGCTCTTTCATTGCAACGGACCCACTCTCTCCTCCAGGGCTCACGGTGAGACTACATTTCCCAGCCTCCCCTGCAAGTGGGTGTGGCCACACAGTTAGATTCCGGCCCCGGGGGGATTGTGGGCAGATGTGATGGACACCACTTCCAGACCTACCCAGGAAACCCTCCCACACTGTCTTCCTCCTCTTTCTCTCTCTCCCATCTCTCAGCTGGATGGAGATGACCCAGCAGAGGACTCTGAGGCCACAGGGGATGGCAGAGCCCCAAGATAGAAGGAACCTGGGTCCTGGGATTAACAAGTGATTCACATGGAACTGTTACGTGAGCAAAAACTAAACTTCCTGTATGTTGCGTGTGGCAGATTGCATTTTTTAAAAACTGACTTACAGAAAAATAGAGAAGGGTGTACAGAGTGTTCCCTTTTACCCTACATCCAATTTTCCCTAGTATTGACATATTAATACAATATGCTTGTCACAATTAACACACCAGTATGGATGTCATTGACTAGATAACTGACTAAATGATAATACATCATTATTGATTCATTAATTGTAGAAAACTCAGTAGTTTATTTAGATTTCCTTAGTTTTCACCTAATTTACCTAATGTCTTATTTCTGTTCCTTTCTATTTACCTAATGTCCACATTACATTTAATTGTCATGTCTCCTGGGGCACCTGGGTGACTCAGGCTCAGGTCATGATCTCACGGTTCGTGCGTTCAAGCCCCACGTCGGGCTGTGTGCTGACAGCTCAGAGCCTGGAGCCTGCTTCTGATTTTGTGTCTCCCTCTCTCTCTGCCCTTTCCCTGCTCATGCTCTGTCTCTCTCTCTCTCAAAAATAAATAAACATTAAAAAAAATTTTATTTTAATTTTTTAAAATATTTTTATTTATTTCTAGGAGAGAGAGAGAGAGAGACAGTGTGAGCAGGGGAGGGTCAGAGAGTGAGGGAGTCACAGACTGAAACAGGCTCCAGGCTCTGAGCTGGCAGTCAGCACAGAGCCCGATGCGGGGCTCGAACCCACGAACTGTGAGATCATGACCTAAGCGAAAGTCGGACGCTTAACCGACTAAGCCACCCAGGCGCCCCTAAAAAAATTTTTTTTAATTGTCCTATCTCCTTAGGCTCCTCTTGTCTGGGACAGCTTCTCACACTTTCCTTGTTTTTGATGACCTTGACTGTTTTGAGGAGTATTGGGCAGGTACTTTGTAGGATGTCCCTCTATGGGATTTGTCTGATGTTCTTCTTATGGTAAGACTGGGGCTATGGGTTTATTTTGCTCCTCTAATTATTCCGGCTTTGGCCACTGGGAGCTCTTCCAGTCGGCTCCTGTGCTCCCTGACATAGATCCCTATCATGGGAGGTGGCTCTTTTTAAACACTTGCTTACCTTTCGGCCTTACATGAGACTCTAGGCTCATCCTGTATATTTCCTGCCCTCATTCTAGAATCAGCCATGTCTCCAAGGAGTCTCGGTTTTTGTTGTTGTTGTTGTTGTTGTTGTTGTTGTTGTTGTCTTTTTTTTTTTTTGAGAATGGTATTAGAGACTAAGCCTGGACATAAGAATTTGCTCATTGGGGCACCTGGGTGGCTTAGTCAATTAAGCATCCGACTCTTGATTTTGGCTCAGGTCATGATCGCATGGTTTGTGAGTTCAAGTCCCAAACTGGGCTTTGTGCTGACAGTATGGAGCCTGCTTGGGATTCTCTCTCTACTTCTCTCTCTGCCTTTCCTGCACTCTCTCTCTCTCCCAAAATAACTAAAATTTTTTAAAAAGTTGCCCATTGCTAGTGGAATGTTTCTTTTGGGTCCTCCCAGCTGACAGAGCAAAAAATATGTGTCTGCATTAACCCATGTTTGTACACATCTGTACATATTTCTGTATGTAACCACCTGCATCTGTATGAAGCTAAGTTTGTCCTGACATCTCCACCTCTAATCTGTCACCACAGGAAGGGAACTCCCCCTCCAGCAGTGGGAAACTTGGCTCCAACCATCCATTTGCCTCATGGCCCCATTCCATGATCCATGCCAAGGATCTCGGAATTTTCCAGAGAACGCTGTTTCCATTTCACTTTCAAAATCCTAGAACTTTGGCACTTCCCAATCAACAAGTGGAATCCAGGTCCCCTCTCTCTCAAAGTCTTCGGGACTGCCTCCACCAAGAGACACCATAGAATTTTCTAGACCCTTTTGTCTTGCAGCCTTGGGATTCTCACTCTTGGAACCCAACAGTCACTGTGCTGTGTGGGGAAGTCCAAACAAATAGCCTCAGAGAGGCCTAAGTGAGAGGAACGGAGGCCCCGGGCCCACAGCCTCAGCGGAGCTCCCAGCCAGCAGCCGGCAACAGCATGACTGCCATGAGAGTGAGCCTTCCATAAACTGGATCGTCCTGCCTCATCTGAGCTGCCCAAGCTGAGGCCGGGCGGAGCAGAGGCAAGCCGTTCCGCCAAGCCCAGCCCAATGGCAGCTTCTTAGCAAAATAAATGGTCATGGTCACTTTAAGCCACTACATTTTGGGGTGATATGTTATGTAGCGATGGACCAACTGATACATTAGGTCTCCATGGAGATGTGTGGCACATTACTAGATGCATCTCAGGCAAGTCTGTTAACCTCCCTGAGATGGAGCTGTCTCACCTATACAATGGCGCTTCAGTACTCATCTTCCAGAACTGACGTGGAATTAAGTGAGATAATGGGGGTGTAGAGCCTGAGTGCAGAGGAGAATTATGATAGTCAGCTCACCAATCAGTGCCGTCCTTGGGGGTCCCCCGACCTCCCCAGCCACAGTAGCAGCCGTAGAAGCCGTAGTTCGTAAGGGCGTTTTTTCCGGTCACCTTCTCAATCATGGACTTGAGCTCCAGCAAGCCCCCTGGCACAGCAGGCACACCTGAAAGGCAGCCCCCAGCCCCAGGTGAACATGTCACGCTTGCCCCAGGCCCGGTCGCCCTGCACGCTCCCGCCCCTTGTCTTGCCCTGGGACTGGCGGGGACCCAGGCGCCTCCTTCTCCTTCTCCGTTAGTGAGACAGGGACAGGAGAGGGGAGGTCAAGTCGGAGAGATAAAAGGCAGACTTGGAGAATGGGAAACGTGACTTCCAATCCTGGCCTCTGCCGCTCGCAGCACATGATGCTGAGCGTGTCCCTTAATCTCTCCGAGCCTCGGCCTCCTCGTGGGCAGATTTGGGGGAGGGGGTGGGCTAAAGCAAAGGCCTATCTTTTGGAGTCATCCTGAGGATTCAAATGAGAGAAAGGATGTAAGTTTTCAGCGCGGTGGCAGACACGCAGTGAATGGCCAAGAAATATCCGGTATAATTAATACGGTATCTGTAAGAAGTGGGCAGACAGGTGCTTCCTATGTCTCCTGCTGATGCACTCCTCCCTCCAGGCAAATAACCCCATTTGTAAGGCACAGAACCTCAGAGCAGGGTGGGCTCCTCTGAGATCACTGAAGCCAGCTCCCTCCCCTTACGGATTGGGAAATAGTTCTTTGGAGGGAAAGGTTCGGGGTCTCACAGTGAGCCTGAGTCTCCGTCCCTGCTCTGGGCGTCCCGCCCTCCATCAGTCTCCAGAGATCAGGATTAGGACAGCCTGGCAGGGGCTGTGGACATGGTTATGGGGCTTCCCTGTGCTGTACAGTCCCTTCCAGCTGGGAGGGGACAGCGAGTGGGGCGTGTGCAAAACCCAGGCCGGCCTCAGCAGAGAATGACCCATGGGGTGGAATTGTTATATAAGGGTCTTATTTTCATTCGGGCTTTATTTTATTTTGTGTTACACTAAAGAAAAACAAATATGCTTCCCACATTTGCATGCCACATATTGTCCACGTAGCACAACCTTTACCCATCACCACTTAGAATCACGCCACAGCAGCCCCACCAGTAGGGTTGATGTGAATATTATCCCATGTCACAGAGGGAGAAACAGAGGCTCAGAGAGGCCAAGGTTCTTGCTGACGACGATACAGAAAGTGCAGGGCTGACATTCAAACTCAAGTCTCTCTGACCTCAAAGACTGGCCTCCTTTCCACTACACTGTTTCTAAGGGTAGAAGGTCACACATTCAGAAGTCGTGGGGCCAGTACTTACAAGCCAGGAGCCAAGCCAGTGTGAGAAGGCCCGTCATCTCTGGGGTTCTGGAAAAGAAAGCACATCCCATGGCACGTCTCTCAGGAGAGGCCCCCATGATGCATTCGGACCCCGACCCTCAGTCCCCGCCAGACCCCGCCCCTCCTGTTGGGCAGCCCTTGGGCCGCCTCAGCCAGAAAAGAGGCAAAGACCTCAAGGAGTTGATCTCAGGGGCTCCTGGGGGCAGAAGAGCATTCGGGGGTCTGATTTCCCCCAAAAGATGTGGCTTTCCCTCCACAAATGCCCCAACGCTATTGCCCCCTCTGCAGAAAATGGCTCAAAGTAACCAAAGAAATAGGCAGTGGGTTTCTTAAATGGAGATTGGGTGGCACGAGTGAGGAGTAGGAATTGACGCAGGCTGGACATGGCCGGAGGACGCAAGGACCAGACTGGGGAAAAAAAAAAAAAACAACCTCGACAAGGGCAGCAATGATGCAGGGGTGAGAGATGGAGGGGCAGGGATGGTGTTAAGTCCCCTGTTCCTTTGACCTCATGGTGCTTGGTTGCCAGTGTTCAAGGATGTCTTCCCTGCTGGTGTCTGAGGGCAGAAGCCAGGTATCTCCCAACGCAGAGAATGTCTGGCCCCGAGGGAGCACTCAGGGAGGAAGCACAAGCCCTCCCCTGTGTCCAGCTGTCAGGGCCTCATTATGGCTTTGTGAGTCCCCAGCACTTTTGCCTTCATGGGCCCTTTCCTCCAAAAAAAAAATATATATATTTTAAGTTATAGTTTCCAATTACGTTGGTATGGAAGCAAATACAACCCAGGCTGGGTGTGTGATTGTATATTTGTTAATATTATATTCATTTTTTCCCCTCCTGATTCTAAAGGAATGAAACTTAAAACGTTTCCACGGACCTCAGGCACTGTGCCTACTTAGAGAACAAGTGGACCCTGGGTACTCGTGAATTTCGGGAGCTCTGAAGGGGAGGTGTCTCTGTTTCCATTTTGCCAGTGGAGAAACGGAGGCTCAGGGAGCTCATGGAACTTGCCAGAAGTCACACGGGTAGAAAGAGTAGAAGAGGGTTCAAACCCATGCCTGTGCACCTCTCACTGCACCTCGCGGCCTCCCTTCACAGAGGGACAAACCTCCTTTTGAGCCATGGAGCTCCCCTCCCCACACCTGCCTCCGGCAAACACATGAATCACTGGCCTTGAGTACCAAAAATCACACCCAGAAAGCAGAGGAAATTCCATGTGTCTTGGACCAGCGCCTGATTCTAACTGGGCCTCAAAGACTCCTTACTGGCGGCTGGCTGTTTCCCTTCCCACTCCGGATCCCAGAGAGAGTCTTGTTTATCCACAGTCATTCAGCTGGCCTGTGGTCAGTCCGGGCTTCCCCTTCGGTGCCTCTGACCCCTGAGTTCTGTGGTCCCTTGCGCAGTGCTCTGTCCGGAGCCCATGACACCTCCGAAGGCCTGGCTCCGTACACACAAGCTGTGGGCTCTCCAGGGCTCCTGGCTACTGGCCTGGCCTCTCCACTCCATCCGTTGTCCAGTAGCTCCTCTGAGTTCCAAGAACATTCCTGAGGGTTCTGTCCACCCCTGACCTCCACCCTGAGGGCTCTGACCGGCCAAGGAAAATGACCCTAGACCCTACGCTTCCACACCAGTCTTCCTCAGCTGCTTCCTGGAGCCGCAACAAGAGAAAGAGGCCATCACTGTGTACAGGCACCCACAGTGCGCCAGGCTCTGTCCCCTGCTCCTTAAGCCTGGCGAGGACCCCAGCTGGTGGCTATTGTGAGACCTGCGGGCACCATGTCTGTCCCTTCAGCAGTCATTTGTTGAATGAGGGGTAGCAGTTGCTCATTTTACAGATGCGGAAACCGAGGCTCAGGAAGGGGTTGTGCCCAGAGATTCAGCCCAGGAATCTACTATGCTTCTCTGCCTCTGAGCACCAACTCTGTACCATTCACTGCGTTCCTTTTCCACACTGGATGATGCTTTGATGTCCTGGGGACCATGCTGAGAAGAGACAGCCCCTCCCAGGGCCAGCTAACTCCTAGAGGTGACATAAGACTCCCCTGTGAGCGTGGCTTTCATACGCAAACCAGCCAGTCCGGCCACTCACACCCCAACCTCTCCGTCTAGCTCTTCCACTCCCAGCCAGTATTTCCTCTGTCCTGTATCACACCAGGGCCAGAAGCAGACAGCCAGGGACCACCCCTGCCCCCCTGTAACCCAGAGCCTGCTGAAATCATTAATCCCAAACTATTTACCCTTCCCTGCCTTGCCTCACCCATGGAAAACACGAGAAAGGCTCTGGGCTGAGCTTTCTCTCATTTCTTCTGGCTCCTGATCTGCGCTGGTGCTTCCTTGTGTGTCCTTCCACAGTGTGATGTGTGTCCTTCTCTCAGAAACTGTAAGAAACAGACTATCCTTTTTTTGAGAGAGAGAGAGGCGGGTGGGTGGGAGCGCACAAGTTGAGGAGAGGGACAGAGGAGGGTGAGAGAGAATCTTAAGCAGTCTCCATGCTCAGCTCAGAGTCCTATGTGGGGCTCGATCCCACAACCCTGGGATCATGACCTGAACCAAAATCAAGAGTCGGACACTCAACCGACTTAATGACCCAGGAGCCTCCAGACTATCTTTTAAATGGCCACTGGCTCTTGAGCTACTGGCCTCACCATGTACCGGAATCAAATAAAAATCCCAGACACATTTTAGAGCAGCTGGTGCGAGGGAGCAGCATGAGACCCCACGGAGGGGCTCCCAAAGTGTACAAACAGGCCTCACAGAGGAGGCGGCAAGAAGCTTAGAAAGTGCTGCCCCAGAGGCCGGGAAAGTGGCTCCATCAGCGGAGCCCAGAGCCGCCCCCCAGGAGAAGGATGTGGGGTTGGCTATTTTTATCAAGCGACCACAGAGGGAAAAAAGCAGCAGCCACAAGATAATTTAGGAGTAAAGTGGTAGCTGAGGTCATGAGAGTGGAGAAAGTGGAGACAGAGCATAAGGGCCGCATGAAGACATGAGGGTCAAGGAGCGGCGGGGTTGCCGGAGGGACAGACCCTCCAAGTTCATGTGCGGTAGCCCCCCCACCCCCATTCTCCAGGACCCTCGGGTCGGGTCTCGGGCTAGGAAGGACAGACAGCACCAAGCCCCCCTGCACAGCGCATGTGAGAGATCTCCCCTCGATCTGTCGGGGAGGCACCCGGGGGTCAGGACCCTCCTCTCCCAGCCCCTCCCCCTCCCTGCCCCCTGCCCACCCCACCCCAAGCAAGGCAGCCCCCAGAATGAGATTCCTCACCAGGGAGACCTTCTCTCCGGGTCAGGCCTGCAGAAGAGGCAGGGGCTGGGCCTGTGGGTTTTAAAGGCCTCTCTGCCCGCCTCCCACGCTCCCCTCCCGACCAGGCGGCTCCTGGAGTCCCCACGGCTCACAGAGAAAGCCCTGCTTCCCCCCTCCCGACCCCTGGGGACTCAGTCCCTCTCTGTTCAGAGCAGCTATTTCCTGAAGTGTCTCACGGGGCCTCAGGGACTTTCAGGAGAGACACCGAAGAAGAGGGTCTGGCTTGGGCCACCCACACTCCAGGCTTCTCCACGGGAGGGAGGGGGCGGGCGGGGAGGGGGCAGGAAGACTGGAAACCCTCCCCCCCAGGGCAGCCTCCTCCCTCCACCTGCCACCCTGCTTCTCTGTCGAGTCCTCCGGCCCACGGCTCATGCTCATATTTCACCCCGTCCCGCTGGGCCTCAGCTCGGGGACGGCCATGGCAGCCGGCGGCGCCCTCCCGGACTCGGCCCTCACCCTCTTCCTCTTGTTGCCCACTTGCCAGCCGTCGCCCTGCCCCCGGGCTGGGGAGGCCCACAGGCCTGTGAAAGCCCCGCTCTGGAGATTCTGGAAAACGTCCCTTGAGCCCCGCTGGCACCTCCCCGTTGGCACCTGACTGACTCCTTACGGAATCCCTGCTCTCCTTCTCCCTGAGAAAGAGAACCCTCCAGGCTCCCCGTCAGACAAAGGCAAGCTGGAGCCCCCGCTCAGCCGCTGTGTGACTCCAAGCAAGTCACCACACTTCTCTGTTCCTTTGAACTATGAGAATAATGCCGCCCCAACACCCCAGAGGCTTATGGTGAGGAAACTACTGTATAAAACATGGCCAAGTGGGGAGGTCTGTGGCCCGCGGGCCGGCATCACAGACTCTAGATCAGCTTCGAGTCCTGGGTTCAAATCCTGGCTTCCCCACCATGAGCTACATCTCCGGGCTGACTGTAATCGGCCTGCCTCAGAGTCTTCGTTAGGATGAAGTGAATGAATGCATTTATAACAGAGAAGTGGCAAAATAATGCTCGTAAGTAAATGACAAGTAACCTTCTAGAGTGTTCTGGAAGAACATAGGTAGCTGTCACTATGCTCTGTTCCTGTCTATTAATCCCTCCCCCCCCCCCCCCCCCCGCCGCCGCATCCCTGACCCGTGTGCACACACTTTTCTGAGAATAAATGAGTGTGAGCTTCTTTGTCTCCTTGCTCTTGACTTCTTTTCTCTCCTTCCTCCACTCACGGCCCTCCTTCCACCTTCTCCTCCTGGGGCCTAACCGCTGGGCACCACCCCCTCCGGAACCCTGTGAATTCAGTTCAATACGAAAGTACTTACTGAACATCTACTGCATGCAGGGCCCTGTGGGGGACTCACCGTGAACAAGACTGACCCCCTCCCTCCCCATCAGCTTCCCTTCGGGTTGAGGAAACAGAGAGCAAAGGCATCAAGTAAATATGGGCCAGTATGTCCGGGGCTGACAGCCACCCTGGAAAAATTCCTCTCTGTTCTGCTTGAACTTTTTTCCACCAGTTCCTTCCTCCTCCCACCGACACTCACGGGCCTCGCCATCCTAACCAAACAAAATGAAGCCAAAAAAAAGAAAACACCCCCAATTCTGCAGATCTGTCTCTCCAGTTTTCTTTTTTCCACTCAAAAAGCCGAATTTCTAGGGGCGCCTGGGTGGCTCAGTCGGTTACGCCTCTGACTTCTGCTCAGGTCATAATCTCATGGTTCATGGGTTCGAGCCCCGCATCAGGCT